GAGCTCTGAAAGAATGGATTGCTTTCCTCATTGTTTTAAGTTGTCCTGACTCACCAACCGTGATAGGAAGCAAAGTGTGTTCCTCTCTTTCTCCTGAAGAACACAGATGTTTAAACTGAACTCAGGAAAAGGAAATAAACACTTCCACATGAAATCTACCCACTGAGGCCTCCACCTCTCCCGTCAACTAATTTACACCGCAGTAAATCTATCAGCCGGCCATATAAAAACCTACAATATGTATATATGAAATGGAATGGTGTTTGATATACAATGTGAAAAGCAGCAGGACTGAAATTTGACTATATGCAAACAAGAGAAAGTATAGGGCACAGCCTTGACAGCCTGATGTGATCCAGACACTAAATACCTTCATGGTAACCCCTGACCACTGGCTTAATGGCATTTCACAGTCCCTGTGCAAACCGAGGCTGTGGACATGCAAAATACACACATGCATTTTCTCCCCAGGCATAGCCTAATCCAGCCCGATGTCAAATCCCACACAGAAGCTCCCAGACAGAGAGATGTAGAGCAGTGTGTCATTCTACCCCTTTCAAAAAGCAGCTCAGAGTGGGAAACTGATCTAGGATCAGCATTTGTTTAGCGTAATCTGATACAGGATAAATTGTCCTACTGTGAAATGCATCATGATAACAAGTCAACACCCAGTATGGACAAGATGTAGATGAGTTTGTTTGTTCATCAGAATAGCATTACATCACTTGTTCACCAATGGATCCTCTGCAGTGAATGGGTGCCGTCAGTATAAGAGTCCAAACAGCTGCTAAAAACATCACAATAATCCACAAGGCTTTAATCCGTCACTTCTGGCCAAAATATGAATCTAATAATGCTTCCTCCAGTAAATAAGTCCATCCTCAATTGCCCTCTCACATCAAAACCAACCGACATATTTCTTTAAAATGTTAAAATGACTGTTTCACAACTGTGCTTGATGTGTGCACATTTCTCTTCTAATTCAGACAAGACGAATGTTCACTGGAGAAAACAAATTTATGAAGAAAAGAGAGAAAAAAATTATGGATAGAGGGCTCGTCAAAAACGTCTTGATTAATTTGTTTACTACAAACACAGCTTTCCACTTTGCAATACATTAATTGATGGACTGGAGTCATGTGGGTTACCTGAGGATTACTGTAATGTTTTAATCAGCTGTTTGAACTTTCATTCTGACGGCACCCATTCAATGCAGAGGATCCGTTAGAGAGTAAGTGATGTACTGTAACACTACGCATGATGAATTTGGTGAAAAAAAGGGAAAAGGTCAAATATTTTAATTCAGAAGTTTTAAAAATGCTCTTCATAGAAGACATATTCATGTCATTGTATGCACGAATTGAATTGAGTAAATTAATAAATTAAACAATTATAAATAATGAGTACCATGTCATTGACCCATGAATTTTCCTCACTTTAAGACTTCCAAAACTGCTATCCCATGAAACTTTCAGCTCTAAGTGCCACAACTCTGACATCACCAATAACACTGTTTTCTCAGCTGAAGAGTAAGAGGCTTATTCCATCAATCAATACAACAGCGTTGAAAGGTATTCCTATTACATATTACCTCCAGAGAGAGCTGCCAGGGCACAGAATGTTAGTAAGGTCACCACAGGACTGACAGTCTTAATGTAAAAATCAATGAAGATTAATGAGTGAATTTGTTGTGCGCTGTATTAACTGTGCCGAAGGTTATGGACGAGCTGTGTGCTCATTATTAGACAACGTATATAATAATGGCCCACACAAATGAAAAAGGCCATATGACTAGTGTGAAGACCCACAGGTGCTTGTATGAACAAGAGCATACAGAGTCTTCAACTATGAGAAATGCATTTCAAGCTCAGCTTAATGCCTTTCATATCAATAATTCATCCTACAAGTCTAAAGCATGGGGAGTTTGAGATCATCAGCTTGTTCAAGAAAAAAAGAAGACTTTGTTCACAAACTCAGAAAAACAGATGGCATTTGTTGCCTAAAACATTTTCATAATTAAGGCTGGTTACAACAAAAAGTTCCCAGACAGCTTGATAGATTATAAACGTTGAACCTCAACACCAGAATGTATATGAAGAGTGTATGAGAGCGACAGAGAGCTGGAGCTGGGCCCAGTAGTGCTCTGGGAATGCAGTCCGAGTTGATTGGCTGGTTTCCTGATATTGTCTGAAGTCATTTGGTGAAATAGGCAGAAGCATACAGAGCGGAGAGAGCAGCATAACTCAAACCATGTGATGAGGCAGAGCCCTGTGGGGAGTCACCACAGCGTCAGCACAATGGACAGTCTGTAGTGCCTTTACCTGGGAATTACAGCTCACTCACCAAATCCTCATAAAGGAATAAAGTGAAATAAATGACGAATGCACTTAGAAACGCGACGAATGGTATCACATGTGATTTTATTTAGTGAGTCATGCTTTAAACTTATCAAAGAGCATCTACAAAGGGTCTTCAGCATATCTGACCTTCCTTGAAATGGATTTTGTCAAGTTGCACTTATTTCAACTTGACTTAATTTAAAATGTTAAAATGACTGTTTCACAACTGTGCTTGATGTGTGCACATTTCTCTTCTAATTCAGACAAGACGAATGTTCACTGGAGAAAACAAATTTATGAAGAAAAGAGAGAAAAAAATTATGGATAGAGGGCTCGTCAAAAACGTCTTGATTAATTTGTTTACTACAAACACAGCTTTCCACTTTGCAATACATTAATTGATGGACTGGAGTCATGTGGGTTACCTGAGGATTACTGTAATGTTTTAATCAGCTGTTTGAACTTTCATTCTGACGGCACCCATTCAATGCAGAGGATCCGTTAGAGAGTAAGTGATGTACTGTAACACTACGCATGATGAATTTGGTGAAAAAAAGGGAAAAGGTCAAATATTTTAATTCAGAAGTTTTAAAAATGCTCTTCATAGAAGACATATTCATGTCATTGTATGCACGAATTGAATTGAGTAAATTAATAAATTAAACAATTATAAATAATGAGTACCATGTCATTGACCCATGAATTTTCCTCACTTTAAGACTTCCAAAACTGCTATCCCATGAAACTTTCAGCTCTAAGTGCCACAACTCTGACATCACCAATAACACTGTTTTCTCAGCTGAAGAGTAAGAGGCTTATTCCATCAATCAATACAACAGCGTTGAAAGGTATTCCTATTACATATTACCTCCAGAGAGAGCTGCCAGGGCACAGAATGTTAGTAAGGTCACCACAGGACTGACAGTCTTAATGTAAAAATCAATGAAGATTAATGAGTGAATTTGTTGTGCGCTGTATTAACTGTGCCGAAGGTTATGGACGAGCTGTGTGCTCATTATTAGACAACGTATATAATAATGGCCCACACAAATGAAAAAGGCCATATGACTAGTGTGAAGACCCACAGGTGCTTGTATGAACAAGAGCATACAGAGTCTTCAACTATGAGAAATGCATTTCAAGCTCAGCTTAATGCCTTTCATATCAATAATTCATCCTACAAGTCTAAAGCATGGGGAGTTTGAGATCATCAGCTTGTTCAAGAAAAAAAGAAGACTTTGTTCACAAACTCAGAAAAACAGATGGCATTTGTTGCCTAAAACATTTTCATAATTAAGGCTGGTTACAACAAAAAGTTCCCAGACAGCTTGATAGATTATAAACGTTGAACCTCAACACCAGAATGTATATGAAGAGTGTATGAGAGCGACAGAGAGCTGGAGCTGGGCCCAGTAGTGCTCTGGGAATGCAGTCCGAGTTGATTGGCTGGTTTCCTGATATTGTCTGAAGTCATTTGGTGAAATAGGCAGAAGCATACAGAGCGGAGAGAGCAGCATAACTCAAACCATGTGATGAGGCAGAGCCCTGTGGGGAGTCACCACAGCGTCAGCACAATGGACAGTCTGTAGTGCCTTTACCTGGGAATTACAGCTCACTCACCAAATCCTCATAAAGGAATAAAGTGAAATAAATGACGAATGCACTTAGAAACGCGACGAATGGTATCACATGTGATTTTATTTAGTGAGTCATGCTTTAAACTTATCAAAGAGCATCTACAAAGGGTCTTCAGCATATCTGACCTTCCTTGAAATGGATTTTGTCAAGTTGCACTTATTTCAACTTGACTTAACCTGGGGCAAGTAAGTTTCACAATGCTTAAGAACAGAGATTCATTCACTCATAACTGAGAAATGCATAACATGACATCCAAAACAAAGATGAAAATTAATTTGCAAAAATGCATTAATGTAATGACAAACATAAAAAAGTACTGCTGCTCGGGCTCTTTTTTTCAGGGACGCACAACCCATGTCCTGTGAGCTGACCCATGAAAACTTTGTCTTGTCTGTGAAATTTAACAACAACCATGCAACTACAACAAATAGCTAAATATTATGTGTTTACGTATGCATGTATGTATAGTAAGTATATATATATATACACACAGTGGGTACGGAAAGTATTCAGACGCCCTTAAATTTTTCACTCTGTTATATTGCAGCCATTTGCTAAAATCATTTAAGTTAATTTTTTTTCCTCATTAATGTACACAGCACCCCATATTGACAGAAAAACACAGAATTGTTGATATATATATATATATATATATATATATATATATATATATATACACACACACACACACACATACACAACAAATAAATAAATGTTGGCTATTATTTTTGCAGTCTAATGATTTTAAGGAAAGCATTTATAATTAAAACAATAAATAAAAAAATCAGTATATCAGTTATCAGACACTTAAAAATCACTAGGCCAACTGTATGGGTTCAATTAATTGTTTCATTAATTTAAAAAAAAACAAATAATAGGCCTATCTCTACTTGTCCAAGTCACCCAAATTATGCAATATTTTCAGGCATAGCTGTTAGGTGGGGAAACAATTCCTTAAAGCTTTGTTTAGAGGAAATACATCACACGGAAAAAAGAAAAGTGAGATTAGAGCACTCTTCTTACCTTGCCTCACAGTTTTCAACCTAATAGGTCCCTTGCAGTTCTTGATCACTGTCAGCACATCATACAGCGGCAATCCAGAGACAGAGAGCGTCTCCACTTCCAGCAGTAATTCCCCCTCGGACACTTTCCCATGTCTGTACTGTACGGCATTCCCGTTAACGGGTCCGATATAGGCGAACTCGCCGTTCTCCGCTCCGCCGAGCAGCTGCACGTTCAGCTCGCCGCGGGCGTCCTTACAGATCGTGCACTCGTTAACTTTGGTGGTCCAGTGGTTCTTTTTCTGTACCACTTTGGACATGATGAATCAATCAAATCCGTCCAGAAACAGGTGGTTCCGCTGACAGACAAGAAAACGCAATAGTTTCATAGAATGAAATATCCCACGCACACGCGGTAAAGTTTCTTTTCCGTCTCCTCGGTCATGAATGCAGCTTCTTCGCAGCCCAAAAAAGAACGAAAAACAAACTCAAGCCATTGTCCGGCTGTTCACCGAAAGCAATTCCCACTCCGACCGCTTCTCTAATTAGCCTGTATTGTTTTCCTCATCTTCTTAACATGTTTGCCTTTAATCCTCTTGGTTGCGCTCATCTGCTTGTGTTTTAATTTCATAAACCTCTTTAACTACACTTCTTTAAGTCTTAAGCTGTTTCCATAATAATTTGTTTTTTTTCTAAAACACTTCTAAGTAGAATTCCTAAACTGTCGGTGAACGTTTCCTCCTGGTTCACGGCTCCTTTAAACAGGTACAGCGTTGACTTCTGTTTTGATACATTTCATCCTGTTCTGCCTGCTCTCAGCTAGGGATGGAGCGAATGGAACGTGTGCGCATGCGCACTGTTTCCCTTCGGACTCTTGAAGGGAATCCTCATTGCGTCCGTCACCAGGTCCTAAAGTCCGTCATTTAGCCTAGAGAATAATAATATTTACAAACCTAAGCTGATCTTCATTAAACGCCTCTCGCGTTATATATCTCCCAAATGCTGCAATAAATAAATGCAAACATAGACATGTATCAATAATCGCGCCTAGACTTTATAAGTGGCTACAATCAGCATGTAAAACTAGTTGATTGTAATGAGATTAATTGAAAACATCTTCAGAATCACTGTAGTGGACCTGAGCCATAAATCATTAGCCTAAAAGATTTCCAGAGTAGTTTTGTCTTTGTTATGTTTAAGACTTGCTGTTTAAAAAGATAGGAATTTGTTTCCTACACTCTTGCACAACCAGTTTTATCTGTTTGCCAGGAGTGTTGGTTTGTGTCGAAATTTAGCCTAGCATACTCAACTCAACTTTATTTATATAGCACCAATAAAAAGAATAAGGGTTCATCCCATATCAATCCTTGTTATTCAGGTTCAACCTGCCTACCGTGTCTGTTAAAAATCACCATATTTTCCAACACGCTGTTTATAGTGTCTATATATTTATAAAGTAATAGCTATCACAAATGTATTGTTCATAATACATTTGCAGATGTAACATGCAGTAACAGCAGTATTCTATACTATTATGTGTTTTATAATTTAGATATTTCATATCATGTCATATTTTTTGTGTTTGTTTTTCTGTATCAGTCAGTATCCAGCCATAGAATTATTTTTATCAATGTCAATACTGTCACGATCAACCATTCCATCAATATTTCTTTGCAAATGTATGTGTTTTTAAATAACGTAAGTCCCATTTCAATTACACTCTATTTCTTCACCTCTGTCACTTATGTGCATAGTCATACAGGATATTTTTTCTGCATGTGTTTGTCTGACAGCATGTTAGTGCCTGACACGTGAAGGGCCGTCGTCGGGATCAGATGGGCTTCGCTGTTCACCTTGGGAAAAGCAAATGAGCTCTCTGATCCTAAAAATAACATTCAAAGTACTCCTTCTCCCTGGAGACGCCAACCATTGGCCTGGATCGGACAGGAAACAGAGTGCTTTTAAGCTTAAACCGTGCAACTTCTCCTCCAATCATCAACGGTGCTATCAGATGCTCTCTGCGTTCACGCCGTGTCAGCCTGCTGCATCTGGGATCTTTGAATGATGATGTAACGTGTCTAACCCGATTTCGCTCCTGAAATAATCATGAGCAAATTTGAAGTGGTAACTAAATGCTGTTTGGCTCCAGCGAAAATCTGATGTCCCTCTCGTTGGCCTGTGCCAGCTGAGACCTTAACCTCAATGCACTTGCGTGACAAAAATGCTTCAATTCAGCATTGCGCCTTCCTGTTTCAGAAAGGAAGTAAGGAAGGTATATACCTGATGTGGAAGTAGAGTTGTATATTTGGGTGTGCAACTTACAACAACATCTCTCTCTCTCTCATTTTGCCAGTCAAATCCTCTCTGACATGAGAGTGGGCAAGACTTTCTCACTGCTGGCCTTCCACCACAAACCTCCCTGCCAGAACACATCATTTAAGTCTGGGTGGCTGATGCACAGTGACTGTGACCCCTGTGTCTCCTTTTCATTTGATTCCATCTGCCTTCCCATGCCTTCCCGCAAGCAACCCCTATTGCAGAGGGCGAACTATCTACATTTTTCTCTCCCAACCCCCTTCCTCGCTCTCAGCTGATGAACACATGATAAACACATTGGCATATCATATGATATGTCAGTCAAATTATTATTTTTAATTCTATTTGAATTTGAATTTATTATGTCATTTATAAGCTGACCTACAGCATTACCAGTTCCCCACACAATCCCACTGTGAACGTTCAAATCAGGTTTCTGCAATGCGTGTCTATTTGTTCTAGTTTCTAGCTGGATTTGACATCTAAAAACAGCATTTAATAGCCTACATTTGTACTGATTGTAACTTGGTTAGTGGCAAGCATCACTATCAACATCAGACTTAATGAATTGGCAGTATGATATTGCGTATTAATAGTTCATGAGTTTCTGAAAATAAATCTTGTAGTTTATGTAGTTTTAAAGTATAGTTTCTCTTACACCACAAGGCGTAACTTTTATTCTCGCTGTAGTATTGTTGTTGCCGCCACCGCCATGTCGTAAAGGCGCTATGTTTCGTTGTGAAAGCGAAACTACTTTGTTTGGCCTTCCAAAAGAGAACGAAATCTGCTTCGTCATGCCTAGAGCTGATCTGTGCTGGTCGCTGAGGAAATACATCAACTTCGTGCTGTGGATCGCAGGATCAGCTTTCACCGTGGACGAAGCGGAGTCCAGCCCGGGGTCGTCACATGTGGTTGCCGCAAGCCCGCCGAACGATCCTTCGTCGAATCCGCCGGCCGCACCATTCTCAAGCCTGCCTGCCTCCGCTCACTCTAGACCGCTGTGTGTTTCGTTGTGAAAAATTTTTTTAGTTTGGCCTTCCAAAAGAGGACACGACTAGAAATCAGTGGTTAAGTTGTATTTACAACACTGTTCCAGAACCGTTCAACCCAAATATTCAGATGTGTGCAGCACATTTTATGGAAGACTGTTTCCTGATCCTGGAAGAGTAGACTACAATGCAAGGCGTAACTTTTATTCTCGCTGTAGTATTGTTGTTGCCGCCACCGCCATGTCGTAAAGGCGCTATGTTTCGTTGTGAAAGCGAAACTACTTTGTTTGGCCTTCCAAAAGAGAACGAAATCTGCTTCGTCATGCCTAGAGCTGATCTGTGCTGGTCGCTGAGGAAATACATCAACTTCGTGCTGTGGATCGCAGGATCAGCTTTCACCGTGGACGAAGCGGAGTCCAGCCCGGGGTCGTCACATGTGGTTGCCGCAAGCCCGCCGAACGATCCTTCGTCGAATCCGCCGGCCGCACCATTCTCAAGCCTGCCTGCCTTCGCTCACTCTAGACCGCTGTGTGTTTCGTTGTGAAAAAAAAATTTAGTTTGGCCTTCCAAAAGAGGACACGACTAGAAATCAGTGGTTAAGTTGTATTTACAACACTGTTCCAGAACCGTTCAA